AAACCAAGCGATTCAGCCATGGCAAGATTCTATGGTCTGCCAAAAGTGCACAAGCCCGGTGCTCCACTTCGGCCCATTGTTTCGTTACGGGGAACACCAACATACAATCTGTCGAATTGGATGCTTCAGCGTCTGAACTGTCTCACACCAGGCTCCGACACAACGGTACGCTCGGCCGTACATTTCCTTGAAAGACTTAACGGGCTACGCCTCAATGCAGACGAAGTCATGAAATAATTTGATGTTACCTCACTCTTCACATCAATCCCTCAGACTCTTGCGATTAAAACTGTGAGTGATCTACTTGAGCGCCAATATGAGGAGGGAACTAATAAGCCTACACCTGCGCATCTCATCCAGATGCTCAAGTTCTTCCTCAACACGTATTTTACCTTTGAGGGCACAGTGTATGAATAAATAAAAGGGACTCCGATTGGTTCGCCGCTATCTGGTTTCCTTGCTGGGGCGGTCCTTTACATGTTAGAGAAACTGGTGTGTACGAACCATAGACCAGTATTTTGGGCGCGGGAAGTAGACGATACCTTCGTCGTCCTGAGGCGTGAAATGGTGTCTGAATTTCAAACGATGCTGAACTCCGTTTCTGCCGACATTCAATTTACAACAGATGCTTAGAGCAATAGTCAAAATGCGTTCCTAGACGTCCTGGCCCACCGCAAGACTGACAGGAGCCTAAAGACGATGGCATACCGAAAGGCAACCGACACAAGTCAGGTACTCAGCTACCAAAGTAACCATCCGCTGAGCCACAAACCTGGCTGTGTGCGAACGCTTTACAAAACTGCAGAAACACATTGCAACGAGGCAGGTGACAAAGCCACGGAATTTAAATATCTTCGGCGGATGTTCCTCTCTAACGGATACCCTCGCAGCAGACAACCGAAACGAGCTGCAAGACCGGCGGCGGAACAACCGACATTGTGGAGAGCAATGCAGTACATAGGGAATGTTTCTGAAGCAGTTGCTCGCCTGTTACAACCACTGGGTATCGGCGTAGCCCACAGACCCACAGTTGCGATCGGAGGGCATGGTAAGCTGTGAGGAGCTCCACAAATGATTGATGGAAGTTATCCCTGTGTGCCAGGATTAGATTGTTTCTCTCACTACGTGGTCATTTTCTCGACCCAAAATTTCTGCATTTTGAAAGGGGAAGGTGTGCTTGAAGGTTGCACAACAACCTCGTCAAGAGCTGATGCCAGCGCAGGGGCGGCTAACAGCTCCACCGCAAGAAGCAAAAACACCGGACGGGCGGACAAACCCCATAGTCACCTCCATCACCCGCAGGCAGTAGTACGAATTGATAAGCCCCCCTCCCCTGCCCGGCATGTACCCTGGACTGACTGCTGGAGATAGTGCACCTGCAAATGGACTAAGAACAACCACCCGAGGGGCGGCTTTTACCTGGCACTAACCGCTCTGGGCCCTAACTGTCACAGACCACCTCCCTCCCATCCCCGCCTCCCGCAAAATTCACCACCCACTTCAACTCTGTTTGTCACCTAACTATAAGTACTCTGAGGCGCGGTACAACACTTA